ATCCACGCCCGACACCCTGATGTCCACCTCGACATCTCGATGTCCAGCCCCACGCGGTGAAGTCATGCTCGACACCCTGCCGTCCGGCTCTATGTCCTGGCGTCCAGCTCGACACTCGCTGTCCAGCTCGAGGTCTTGGCGTCGAGCTCGGCACCGTGCTGCGCAGCTCGACATGGACTCGAGCTACCCGGCTAGGGCAGACTCAGTCCACCGTTGCCCCAACGATACTCCGGAAAGACCGCGTCTCCGTCCGCCCGCACTTCACGCAGCACATCCAGGAAGGGGACCACGTGCTGGTCCCCACTACCCACGTAGAACCTGGCAGTTCCTCCATTGGGCCAAATCCGCCCGGCCCAACGAAGGAACCTTGGCCCAGCGCTGGGGGCTATAAATACCCTCTGTTTCCAGAGGGTCAGGTATTGATCATTCTAACCTCAATTCTATTATCTGCTCGTACTCCCACTGACTTTAGCATCGGAGTGCCTTGCAGGTACCCCTCCTCCTCGTTCAAAAAGCTTTCAGCTCGGAGCAAGCCGTGACGGTCCAAATTGCCATATAGTGATGCTAGCATGTAGTATAACACTTTATCTTGTATTTTTTAGAATGACATAAATAATTTGCTTAAAATCTCCTCTAAAGACGGAAAAAAATTCTCTAAAAAAAATTCAAACTTCTACGATTAAAGGCTCTAAGTATGTTCTTAAAAGTGTTATCAACAACTTCAAAACAATTTTTATGAGTCATTGGAGTTTCTTCTGAAATAATAAGCCTTAACTTAACAATCGATTTAATTATTTTCTAGGATACTATTGATCACTTTCTAGGATACTATTGATGATCTCGTTGATTCTAAAAGATTCAAACTTCTAGAATTAGAAACTCTAAGTATGTTATTAAAAGATTTATCAATAACTTCAAAACAATACTTATAAATTATTGGAGATTCATCTAAATGATAAGTTTTAACTTAACAGTCGATCCAGCTACTTCTTGGATGAACAAAATATAACCTTCTAATTTAAAATATTCATTTGTTAGATAATATTATCAAAAAAAGGTTTTTATTGAATAATTTGAAAATTTATTTTTTAATATATCATGAGAAATATTATATTATCAAAAAGAGTAAAGTTGTTTTTTTTGAAGTTTGACTAAATTCTTTAGTTTTTTTTAAATATCATTTTTTTTTGCTTAAAAATGTTGTTATTGAATAATTTGAATGAAAGTTATAAAAATAAAACTATATGGAATAGGAACTTGGTTATTTTTCCCCCCTATTTTTTATGTTTCTTAGTTATTAATGAATAATTGGAAAAAAGTTATAAAATAATTAACAAATAAATAAGTAAAATTATAAAGGTATTTTTAATTTTGACCAAAAAAAATGCTAAGGTAATTAACAACTTTTATATATATAATAATTAGAAAAAATTATAAAATATTAAATAAAATAATTAATAAATAAATAACTGAAATTATAAAAATATCTTTAGTTTTCACGTAAAAAAGTACTAAGAGACATAATAATTTTTATATATAATATAATTGAAAAAAATTATAAAATAATAAATAAATAAATGAAATTATAAAAGTATCTACAATTTTGGCGCCAAAAAGTGCTAAGAGATTTAACAACTTTTATATATAAGATTTAAATAGAAGATATAAAAACAAAACTACTTATGGATTAGAAAAGTGGCTATTTTTCTTCTATTTTATGTTTTTTTTTAGTTATTACTGAATAATTAAAAAAAGTTATAAAATAATTTTAAAAATTCTAAATAAATAAATAAGTGAAATTATAAAAGTATCTTTAATTTTAACGCCGAAAAAATACTAAGAGCTTTAACAGATTGTTTTTAAAAGTCAAAATGAAGTGTGGAGGGTTAAAACTGTCCAACTACAATTTTTAAACAAATATGTAAAAATTTGTCTGAGTATTAATTTCCGAATAAATATATAAGTTGTTCTAGATTTTATTATTCGGACGACAATAAATGATTTTAAAATTTTCTAGGATTTGAGATATGATAAACATTCTCTTTTTTTATCATACTAAGAGTCACATTTACACATACAAAATTAAAAATAAATAAAAATCATTTTTAATTGTACCATATATTTCCATTTTATATTTATATAACTACATTAAAGATAATTTAATAAAATCACAGATGCCTTTTTATATTATCACTATTTCCTGAATCAAGCGAATATTATATATTTTTTTAATCTACATGAATTGATTAAATGCAATTGGGAGGGAGGGGTATATTTGAAGCAAGAGAGATTTTTGTATTAAAGAAAACGTTGTTAGGGAAAAGAGTCGCATGAAAGTGAATAATTAATTAAACTAAATTAGAATAGATACTTTAATTATTATTTCTATTTTAAAATGGGTGTCATTTTAACAATAAAACTAATTTAAAAATAAATATAACTTTTTAAAAGAATTATTTTTTGAAATAAAAGATTTTTTATGGTGAAAATACTATGAATATAAATTAATTTAATAAAAGGGTCAAGTCTTTTTCACAATTTTAGTGTAGTTAGTTTGTTTGTGAGTAATGAAAGATTTGGTGTTGGTGTTGCCAACCAAGTTGAGGTGTAAAACAAAAGTGAGAAAGAGTGAGTGTGATGATTTAATGTTGTTAGCATAGTTGGAGTTGCCGCCCGAGAGAGATGAAGGACAAGACAGCAATGCCGTTTTCCCCATTAATAATAATATACATATAAACAGTTATTAATAATATATATAAGCAGTTATGCTTTGCTTTGCTTTTCAGTTTTTGTTTATTGAGGTTGTTTAACATACATTTTCAGACCTCTGTCTTGAAACATGAATGGGAAAGCCTCCATCTCTAAGGAGCTCAATGCCAAACACACCAAGGTCATAATTTGTTTTGTTTCATCTATGCATGCATACATACATACATACTTGTTTCTTTTTGTTCAAGTTTTGATTGCAATGCATCAGCAGATCTTGGAAGAACTTGTAAAGCTGCCTGAAAACAGGGAATGTGCTGATTGCAGGAACAAGTATATATTCACTTCACAACTCATTAATTACTTTGATTATGATATCACTAAACTATAATTAAGTAAATATGTCAGGGCTCCAAGATGGGCAAGTGTAAACCTAGGGATTTTTATTTGCATGCAATGTTCTGGGATTCACAGAAGCCTTGGAGTGCACATATCAAAGGTTTGCTTACTTCATCACTACTTTTTCTGTCATTAAATTGAGTCTTCTAACTATGCAACAACCAGGTGCGGTCCACAACTTTGGATACATGGTTGCCAGATCAAGTTTCTTTCATGCAGTGTAAGAAACTATACATTCTGTTTCCTGCTTTATTAATGAATGACAAGATTTAAGTGATTCTTCTTTACAAGTTAGGTTTGTGGAGTTAGTTAAACCCTCTAACTTCAAATTTTGAAATGCTATCAAAGCTGCATGTTACTAGGACAGAAACTATTTTCATAGAAAAAAATGTATTTCCTTGTGCACCTTTGGATGCAAGTAATGGCGCTACTGAACTAGTCTCTTGATTTGCATTTTATATGCAGTTATGGGTAACGACAAGTCAAATAAGCATTGGGAGACAGATCTTCCTCCCAATTTCGACACAAGTAGATTGGAAATTGACAAGTTTATCCGTGCCAAGTAAACCTCTGATAGACATTTTCAAGATATTATTTCATCTACTTTTCCACTTTCCAATCACTGTCAACTTGTTCATGATATTTCAGGTATGTGGAGAAAAGATGGGTTTCGAAAAATAAACCAGAATCAACTTCAAAGTTAGCTGAAAATATCGTGAACTTTAATCAGTTGCCATATGGTGGGACTAGGAGTGGTTTTCCGAACAGTAGGAGACTTTCTCTTGAAGAAAGCATTCTTGTAAACCACTTGGCACAAGTTCTGCCGCCTGTAACAAGATCCCGTGAGGTAACCATGTCTTTTCACAAGTTCTCTTCCATGATATAGACATAGTGTGGGAATTTTATAATCATCTCATTCATAGATTGGAAGGTAAGGTAGAAGGGAGCCATAATTTTTTGCAAAACTACTGCACTCGCTTTTTAACTGTAGTAGAGTAACTAACTGTAAACAACTTGCAACTGTCTTGGTCACGAAAAAACACTTTCAACTTATTCTCTACAATCCCTGAATATGCACTGAGTTTTATTGATCTCTTTCTGCATTCTACTCTTAGTGCATGCAATTTGGCTTCTCTTACAATGATTTCTACATCTGGAAATAGATTAAGGGTTGTCAGGACAAGCAAAAGAAGAGTTCACCTCCATTAAAGAGACCATCATCATCCGTTGATTTTGACAAGTCCCCAGGAAAGAGTGCTGAATTTTTCAATTTGCTTTGCATCCATGACAATAAGCAGACCTTCTCCGCCGTACCTCCTTCAAGCTGGGCCACATTTGATTGTATGACAAATAATATACTTTTGCCTCTAATCTTTCATACCATTTCTATAAATTCAATGGCTAAAGCAAACTAAGATTTTAATTCAAATTAAGATAGATAGGCAGTTATTAATTCAGTACATATATATTTGCAGGAGGGAAGTATATAAATCATTCAGTTAGTTCTTGGTGCAGATGTCACAAGATTTGAATTGTGGATGATGTTGTGATATGGCATGAGTATTTTAATTTTGGCAATCCTGGAGAGATTTCTATTTATTCCCCTAAACCCAAAGACTTAATAAGTCTGTAGCTCTTAAAATTACCTGTTCAAGTAAAATCCAATCTTATTTGGCTATTTATACCGCACTCCTACAGGGTATTTTTTAGTTGTTGAGTTGCATATTTTTTATAAAGTACAATAAATGAATTAAATTAAAATGAATATTATATTATGCAATAAAGCTGAGTAAAATATATACATAATGATGCACAGTAAAATAAAATGCAAAAGACATATACACACCTGCAAAGATTTAAAAAAAGTCACTGGACTTTGATTCAGAAGGCAAGCCTTATGATGTATTAAGACGAGCAAGTTTTTCCTGAAGCTTTGTTATTCGAGCCTGAATAAGAAGAAAAATGATTAGTGGAGTAGAGAATATCCCCATGAAATTTGTTTATCAAGTAGAGTGATGGATAGAATGATCTATATCTAAAGCTGCTCTGGTAGAGTTACCTTGAAAGATTTAGAACGACGGATGGAAGGATCTATATGTAAAGCTGATAAATATGAGTGCTCTGCCAAATCAAAATTGTTGAATGCCAAAAATGCATCACCTTGACAGATATAAGCCTGCAAAATTGTTAAATTTAGGTGATTAGATGTTTGTTTATATGAATAGAAGTGAAAAATGATGATACCTCAGAATAGTTGGGAGCTAATAGCAGAGACTCGTTAGCATCTTGGAGGGCACCAGAGTAGTTGCCCAGTTCCAGCCTTACCAATGACCTACAAGTTTAGAGAGTAATTATTTAGAGTTGGGAATACAATAGAAAGAGCAAATATAACAAACCAAATGGTTTCAAATGAATAGCCTGTGAGAGTAAAATATAAGAAACCTGCATTTAAACGTGACATGTAAGCCACCAAATGGTTTGAAATGAATAGCCTGTGAGAGTAAAAGCTCAGCCTCAGCAAAGTTTTTGCTGTCAAATTCAACATCTGCCCTCTTCCTCAAAGCAAGCGCATCCAAACTAGTTTTGGAATTATCTCTTCCACAAAACATCACCTCCAAACAACGAGCAGCCGTCCCGCAATGACCCACGATGATGCCATCAGGAAGGAACACAAGGTTGGGTCCGGCGCCGCACTTGCCCAAGCAGCCGGAGGACTTAACGGCGACGTTTGGAGGAGCGATACCAGAGAGTGTTTCTAGGGTTTGAAAGGATCCTTGTTTGCGGCAAGCACGGTTGGTGCACACACGTATTTCTTTGGGTGATGGTGCCGACGCCACATGACAACTGACCAACAGAGTGTCCATCTATTTCTAACAACTTATGTTTGCTGAAAAAAAAGAACAACAAGCTGTTATTTCAAACACCACTAAGGTCTATCATCTGTTTGTTTTACTAGATACAAAAGAGAGACTTAGAGCAGAGAGAAATACAAGACAAAATATCGATCTCTTTTGGTTGGTTTAAAGAGAACTTGAGGACAGAAATAATAATAATGCTCTCATTTCTCCTCTATGCTAAGTACCAAATTAACATCAAGCTTAATATAACACTATTTATAATTAGGTCTTCATTCTCCGTCCTTTTTCGCACATCTTTTTATGGGAAAGGTTTAGGTAACTTTGCGGCGGATTTTCCATTCATTTACTTTTTCTTTATATTTAAATATTATTTATTAATTATTGTTTTCAACAATAATTAAAATAATTTACACTAAAGTTATTCTGACTTTGCCGCCACAAAGTCATCCGAGTCGATTCTATCTTTTCATTTTGTTATTTTTTTTCTTCTAAATTTTTAACACGATTATTGAAAAGATATTCATGTTTATTTTTTGATTTTCGAGTCTTCGGTGAAGATTTAACTTTGGAACACTCTGACTTTCAAACATTTAAAAATGAGTTTGATTTGTTTGTTAGAAGAAGAGATTAAAGACGGTGAAAAAATTAAAGGAATTGATAAGCTTGTTTCAATTTTCAACAGTGTGAATGAGAATAGCGAACCAACCCGGTTTTAGAAGTCAGTTAAAATTGAAAGTGATGTTCGTGTTATGATGTTTGGATCTGTAATACAGTGAGAGGACTGACTTGGGTGTTTTACGTTTTATCGCAATTGTTACGGATAGCAAGAGTCATCACCGACTTTTCTTTTATCCAATAAAGGAAATGGTCAAAAGAACAGGAAAGACATTTGAGATATTTTCTTGAGTTCGGGGGGTAGGTTATGAAAAGGGAAGGTGTTAGCACCCTTTTCATCCGTAGTTATCTACGGACTCTTAGTTGCTTGCTAGATCATTTTTGCTTTGTTTGAAATGTGCTTTGTGGTGTAAGTTTAAAAATATTTTGAAAACGCCTTTGTTGCGACAAACTTTATAATAATTCTCGTCTCTATAAGAATTTATACAAAGTGTTGGTTTTGAAAATAGTTCAAAGAGATGTTTGTTTTTGAAGATGTTTTCAAAATGTAAGTGTGGAATGATTTTAGTTTTTGAGCAAGCAACTACGAGTGTCCTACCTACTCAAAAGGTTTTTGTTCTTTTCCTCCTCCTTTAGATTTTGCTATCTTACCATTGATGAGTAAGAAGCCCCATCATTGGATGTGAAGGAACAAACGTGGGTCATCGTATAGTCATAGAAGACAACTTATGGGACATTTTTGTAAAATCAAGCTTCTCAAATGTGTAAGTGTTTAGGTGTTGGCATGTTTTTTGGTAAAACCAGATGTGTGAATGTCATGACTGATGTCATAACATTCTGGGATACAAGGTACATTCTGCAGAAAAAAAATGTCATACAGGAGCTGCTCAATATGAGTGTTTAGCTGATCATTATGCAATGATCATATTTATTGCATTCTACCAAAATCAGTAAACAGGATTCTTGTTGTCATAATCAATGTTAAGACATCCTGTACTGAACTAACATTTGTGCAAATTTATTATTTCTGAGAACTTTCAGGAATCTGGTTTATTCAGTCCAGATCAGATTCTCACGTGGACTTAGGTTAACTTTGCTTAACCCTAATCTGGTTGTTAAAGTCCTATGACCAAGTCTTGAGGTTAACCCTAATTAACCCTAGCTATTTTCGTGGAAGCCCTAACAGAAGAGTAGCTGGCTATATATTCCTCATGAAGACTGTTGGTGAAAGATACTTTTTGACAGAAGATCAATAAGGGACTGTATAGTTGTAACTACTGTAATCCAAGCAATTATCATTGTGATAAGTGACTTGGAGTAGGATTTGATTGTAAGGGTTGTGTATCACTCAAAGCTTTGAAGCACGAGTGTTTGTGTCACTTGATTAAAGCTTTGAAGCAAAGTCAAGTTAGGGTTGTGTATCACTCAAAGCTTTGAAGCACGAGTGTTTGTGTTACTTGATTAAAAGCTGTGAAGCAAAATCAAGTGTATGTTCTGAAGAGTGTCTTCATAATTTCATTAGTCAATTGTTTAGTATCACTATTGTGATTGAGGGGGAGTGAGTAGGAACTCAGGTTTAAGTTGAACTTAGATTGAAGTTGCATTGGGTAGGTCTTAAGTGAAGGACATAAACTGGTTGGTTTATTCCTGAATTAATATCTCTTATAGTGAATTTCCTCCCTGGTTTGGTAGCCCCCAGAGTAGGTGTTGTTACACACTGAACTGGGTAAACAATTGACTGTGTTCTTTACTGCTTTTAGATTTACTGTCTTGAAGAAAGTCAGATACGGTGTCATAACATTCACTATAACATTAAGTATCTGCTGCCAGAATTTCAATTGGTATCAGAGCAGGCACCCTGCCTGTCTTACTGGGTGAGATCTAGGGATATTATTTTCTGGCGCTATGGACAAAGAAGGAGGATTTAGAAACAGACCACTCATTCTGGATGGATCAAATTATGACTACTGGAAACCTCGTATGATTGCCTTCTTAAAATCACTGGACAAAAAGGCTTGGAGAGCTGCTGACAAAGGATGGAACCATCCCACTATAACTGGGAAAGATGGGACAACCAGTCTGAAACCTGAGGAAGAATGGAGCAAAGAAGAAGATGAGTTAGCCCTGGGTAACTCCAAAGCATTAAATGCCTTGTTCAATGGAATTGATAGAAACATATTCAGACTAGTACATCAATGTGAACTGGCCAAGGAGGTTTGGGACACTCTCAAAACTACCCATGAGGGCACATCTAAGGTAAAAATGTCAAGGCTTCAGATGCTGACTGCCAAATTTGAGAACCTAAGGATGATGGAAGATGAGACCATTCATGAGTTTCACATGAACATCTTGGAAATTGCCAACACCTCAGGAGCATTGAGAGAAAAGATGTCAGAAGAAAAGATGGTGAGAAAGATTCTCAGATCCTTGCCTAAAAGATTTGCAATGAAGGTGACTACTATAGAGGAAGCTCAGGATATCTACAACTTGAAGGCGGATGAACTCATTGGGTCACTTCAGACCTTTGAGATGGGGATCAGTGACCATGTCGACAAGAAAAACAAGAGCATAGCACTTGTATCTAATACTGAAGATGAAAACAAGGAGGATGGAGAAGAAAATATTTCAGAAGCTATAGCCATGCTTGGAAGACAGTTCAACAAACTCATCAAGAGAATGGACCCAAAGTCAAGGTCAAATGTTAAGAACATTCCTTCTGACATTAACATACCCTATGACTCTAGTAGAAGACCAAAGTCTGAAGAGAAGGGAAATCAAAGCAAAGGAATTCAATGCCATGGATGTGAAGGATATGGGCACATTCGAGCTGAATGTCCTACCTTTCTTAAGAAATAAAAGAAAGGAATGTCTGTTACTTGGTCTGACTGTGACTCAGAAAGTAATTCTGAAGAAGAATATGCCAAACTAGTTACTGCGCTAACTGGTATTTGTGACTCTGATAGTGACTCTAGTGATGAGGAAGTGAGATTTGAAGAACTAGCTGACTCCTACAAGAAGTTATGTATCAGAAGTGCTGAAGTCTGTCAGCAAAATGAGAGACAAATAAAACTCATAGTAAAGTTGGAGGCTGAGAAGAAGGCAAGTATTGATACTATAAGTCATCTAGAAGGGGAAGTTCAAATGCTAAACTCAAAACTTGACCAGATGACCAAATCTGTCAAGATGCTGACAAATGGAACTGACAAGTTAGAAGAAATCCTTCAGGTTGGACAAAATGTAGGAAACAAGTCTGGTCTAGGGTTTGTGGCAGCAAAGAAATCTATTGTAGACAAGAAGAAGATCAGACTTGATAAACAAATGTTAAAGCAGATGTCACAACATAGCACTCAACATCGAGAATAGAGAAATATGAAGAAAAAGTATCAAAGATGGAGATGTCATCATTGTGGGAGGTTTGGTCACATAAAGCCATTCTGCTTCAGATTATATGGATATCCTAATCAGACCCCAGGTGTCAAACCTAAGTCTAACTGTCATACCCCAATTTTTGACCTAAGATCCCACTTGCATTTTTGCATTTTTTATACAAAAGTCAAGGTCACTAAATACGGTCGGTTTTAACCTCTCACTTTCGAGCTTTGACTATGTGAAGATTGTCAAGTGTTTTGAACATTTTTAGCCTATGTATCACTAATTTTTAATCGCATACAAAGGTGTATGTTCATGTTTTCTTTTGTTTCATGTGCAGAGGCAGGTCTGAATCAAGAGCATCAGGTGTCGCGCCTCAATTAAGGTTTTGAGTCTCCCAAGCCAGAAGTACGGTTGATTGTGGATTCTCGAAGACTGATTCATCAAGGCACAACTGTTGCGCCCTTAATTTCGCCCCTAATTTTTTCAGTCGCACATTCATACCATATTTTGTCATTTGGTCACAATCATTAGTAAATATCTTCGCTCATCATATTTTGCATCATTAGTCGTATTTAAGTTGACCAGAAAAAGTCAGTTTAAATCAAAGTTTGCATCGTCTTTCAGTTGTAGAATACCTGACATTTCACTTCATTCATTTTTATCTATTTACTATTTTCTTGCACTGCTCCAAGTTGTTTATATGTCGATAATAAAATATTTCGGTTTTATAGACAGACTGTTAAAAGCGATTCGATACTATGCGGGAAAGTAGCGAGAAAATATTTCAAGTTTTCACCTTTTACCGATCATTTTATGAATCTGCATCTCGCATAGATTATGACGGTATGCTCGCTTTATTTTTCGATATAGTTTGAAGTCTCGTTTTTAACCGTAAAACGTCTGTTTAGCCTGGTATTTTCATTATCATTTTATTCCTATTTTTACTTTTTTGAATATTTTTTCTTTAATCTTTGTGACATGTAGTTTATATTAATGTGTTCATTTTATTTTTTTTGGAT